ATTTGCAGCCAGTTGGCAAGAAGATTGGCGGGAATGCCCGGCAAAAACAATGACAATCCAAACGGCAGATATTATCAATCAATGTTGTACATCACATTGAAACGCTTGTCCATGACCAACAAACGTCCATCGGATGGATTCGCCCAATGCTTTCTGGACCAAATGGTGGAATCTGGCGCAAAAAAGCTGCCCAGCAATCTATGGCCATGTCAAATAAGGCATTTGTTGGTGGACCAACCGAAGTTGAAGTGAATGATTGGTTTGAGCACAAAAGAGAGCAACAAGAGGCTGCTGAATGTATTTACCAAGCCTTGATGGCATAGCACAAGTTCTCTCCTGACAAACAGCCTCCCTCAGTGCTTTTATGTGCCATTATCTAATGGGTGTCTGTTGCGATATCAATGTGGTTAGGGTTGCTTTCCGCCTTTTCAAGAAGGACTTCCAAAAGTATTTTTGTGAGCTTAGCCCAGGGGATTTGACATTTGGCCAAGAACTAGGTTCATGCTGAATCCTGGTTTGCTTTTTGTTTTAGTGGCGTTTTAAGTAGGTCCTAAATTAGCTGAACAGTCATTAAAAATTCAAAGAAACTTGCAAGTTGTTGTAGTCCTAGACTAGAGTCATTGAAAATTGAAACATCGAAAAACACTATCTATTACTACTGCAGCCGCATTTGTTATGGTACAAACAGCAAAGTGACAGGAAATCTTGATTGAGTACTGTAGTGGCATGATGAAATCGGCTGTTATACTATGCTGGTGCAACTACTAGGTCCCCCGGGGAAAAAGAAGAAGAAAAAGAGAAAGGAAAGCGAAGAGAAGAGAAGAGAAAAGAGGAGAAAGCAACAGGACAAAAAGTGTCTCTACAACACAGCACTGGCCTCATGCACAGCATCGCAAGACAATATACTCCATGATCCTGGCCTTAGCCAGGATTTTGACAGATTTGAACGAGGTAACAATGATCGATTGTTTGATGTAGGTCCACCATCCACCGTTGCCTTTGAAATTCAGCTACTTTGTTCTACAATTCACAGATTTCCAGGTCCCGCATTCTCCAACAATGTGATTGGATGGTCCACTGGACCATCCAATCATATTGAAGTGGATGGTAGGACCATCCAATCATATTGTCTCGATATCCTTCGAGGCGCGTGCAAAATAGACTTTGTTCTACGATGCACCGATTTCCAGGTCCCGCTTTCTTCAATGTGATTGGATGGTCCACTGGACCATCCAATCATATTGAAATGGACAACAGGACCATCCAATCATATTGTCTTGATATTCTTTGTAGCACGTGCAAATCACTAATCCAGCTGCTTTACTCTGCTAATATGATTGGATGGACCACTGGTCCACGGCTTGACTGGCTCGTCCTTACGCTTGCGACCGTTCCAGTCAGCATTCACTAAAAAAGTGGTCTGATATTTCACATTTTCAACATTTAATGCCATGGGAATGTGTCCCACGAACATTTTATTCTTCTTCGAAGCACTCTTGCGAAGGGGAATTACATTTAATATTTCTACAAAATTTCGGGGAATCGGACTCTTCATTCGGAATGTCAAAACTCGTATTTCGGCGACTAAGATTCCTTTTTCAGTCTTCCACATATAAGATGGCCGACCAATACGACCGACGTTCCCGGCCGTTCCTGTCCTTCATTCATCCGTCCATTTTAGGGGGATTGTTGTTTTTCTTTTCGAGGGGGAACACTTGTACAAGCTATAGAGGGACGGTGTAAACACGGGAATTTTATTACCGGTATAAGTATACAATACCGATTCCAGAAAGTTTTTGTGCGCACGCGCATATAAATGTAATCGTTACGTTATTACGAGGGTGTTGACTTACGAAGTAGTAGAAGTTAAAGATAGTAATGTAGATCAAATCGTATTCTTAAAAAGAGTGTTGTTATCGTCGTTTCATCGACAGGCTTCCGCGAAGGCCGATCCCGTTCACTTACAGACACGAACCATTGCATGCGTGCGCAATAGCGCGGTAGCCTTCATTTGGTCCCCTCAAATTGGGTTCCAACGTTGGGATCCAGTTCGATAACTTGTCTAGTACGTCCATTCCCCAAATAGTCACCCTCTCCTTTCTAGTGTCAATCGTTTCGTGAAGGCATCAGCTAGGTTCAACATTCCTGCAATCCACGATACGTCAACGACTCCTGCAGCCACGTTCCACCTGGTGTAATGATAAGCAATCGAATTATGCTTCTTGTTCAGAGTGGATTCGACCATTGTTGAATTCGTCACCATGCTCTCGTTGTCGCAGAATACGTGCGATGGTCCTTCTTCCAAAGGTATCCCGAACATCCTCAATTTGAATCTCAAATGCGTGATGGCTTCGATGCATGACTTCAAAGCAATGAATTCGGAACCAAAAGTACTCGCTTCTACCGTATTCTGTCGCTTGCTGTGCCATAAGATAGGTGCCCGATTGAGGAAAATTGGCACCATGTGAAGCATCTACCCATGCAGTACTTCCTACACTTCGTCCCCTTGGTTTGGGTGTGTTGTGTGGCATCTCTTCCGTCGCATCTCGGAGTTGGAAGTAGTATTTTTGGAGCTGGCGGACAACGTACGGACGGCAAGAATATGACCAAAATGACCAGACCAACGGTGACATGGGCAGACCGCGTTCGCGGTTTCGCAGGTGGGATTGCCAGACCAGAGTCGCTTGGTCCCGCGCATAAGAAAAGACTAGTAAATAGGTAAATCAAAGTAGCCACTGGATTGCATGAGCTGCAATGCTCATTCAATCCAGGTAACAACAAATAGATACTGGAATTAACATTCAAATAAAAGTCCTTTTATCTTTTTTAGACTAGCAGAGAGTTTGTTCTGAGCGCTAAAGGCACTCACGATAGAGCACATTTTGCTTTATTCTAACACAGTACCTTTCAGGGCGCAAGCCTAAGAGCATTACAGTGCGGCGGACGAGGCGAAGGAACAGCGCGCCGGAGCCATCCGTTTTAGTGACACTTTTATTTCGTCTTGACGTTTATTTTCTCTCCTCATCAGACAAACCCGTCGGAATATGACTGCCGCTCAGACTTCCACAGCTGGCACGAGCGGAGGCAATGATCAGCCCAAGCGTGGAGCTGCGAACAATGCGGGCAGAAACGACAATAAGAAGAGAAAGGAGATTTTCAAGGGAGATATTGAAGAGATGGGTGGTGCGGTGCTCCAGTTCCCAGACGAAAGGAATCGACGATCCGCCGCCCAATATGAACGATTTTACATGGCGTTGAAGGACTATATTGGCCGAGAGGTTTCTGTGGGTGCTGCCAAGTTATGGGCCAAGACCTACGTGAAGGAGATGGACCCATCATGGGAACCTCCAGTCCCCATCAAACCTACAACCAACAAGAATGATGTGAAGGCTTTGCAACTCTATGAGTCTGAAAAAGCAGCCTACGTCAAACACATTGGAGCTACTTGGCCCGCTGCCAAGCTGGAGATCTGGAGCACCATCATGGCCCAGTGCTCTCCCAAACTACGTGCCCACCTACAGCAGTTGCCTTTCTACGACAAGGCCGAAAGCACCCACGATTGCATCGCGCTCATCTGAAACAGTTGCCTGGTGCTTTTGGGTACCATGGAACTTGTCCTATATTGTCCAGTACTTCCCCCTTAATGCTATAGCAATATTCCCTTAATTGACAGTTTAATTGGGTAAAAAGGACAAGGACACTGTGTTTTTTATCACCACCCCATGTGAAGCCTATGTGATAGATGAGAACCCCTTGTCCTTTTTATGACAAGGAAATTGTCTTTTTGAGGAAAAGAACCTTCTCATTTTTGGAAAGTTCCCATTTGATT